CTTATACAGTACTTTTGGTGAGGTAATAATGAATACTGTAATAATATGTTATGTTATAAATAAATTGTGTGGAAGTTAGACTTTTATATTATTTATCAGAGCATCCACCCACAGATGTTTCTAAAGTTTATAACCTGGACAAAGGATGGGTACATCAACTTTTAAATCATAATGCAAAGTGCAGAGAAGTCACAGAGAAGAAACAAACAGGTTGTACGAAACGAACAAACAAAGTGAAAACAAATGAAATAGTTTAAGCACTCGTGTATCTGTTAGAAATATTTATATATATAAAAAAATACTTTTGTTAGTAATTTTGGATTTAAACTAATGGGATTCTGTGTATCAATTTTTTCATAAAAACAAAAATGTTACACATTTATGAAATGAATTGTTAATTAGTACGTAGTTTCATGTTTTCGATTAAAAAATAAATTAATCAATATACATAGTAATCAAACCTTTTACAAAAATTAGCAAGGGCATCCATATTAATGATATAAGAATTAAAACAGATGTACAGACACCACTTGTAAAAAGGTCATAAGGTTAATAACTTTTGTAGGGTTAATATTTGAAATATTACACCCATAATATAAGAGAAATTAAAATAATTAAGTAGCTTCAAATTTATGTTTTAATTAGTGATTTTGTAGTTAATTAAAATTTAATATTTTACGTGGTGTAATTAGTGTTTATTTTGTATTCTTAAATTAGTAACATTTCTTCACTGACAGAGAGGTTGAGTTTTGTTTGTGTATTCTTTTTGTTTGTTTTTCATATTCTAAATTGACTTTATTAATTAAAAAGTATTACATGTCTGTTCAGTTGATTAACTAGGTTCTTGAATAAGTATTACACGTCTGTTCAGTTGATTAACTATTATTCAAGAACCTAGTTAATCAACTGAACAGATATGTAATACTTATTCGAACCTAGTTAATCAACTGAATTTTATTCAAGAACCTAGTTAATCAACTGAACAGATATGTAATACTTATTCCAGACATGTAATACGAACCTAGTTAATCAACTGAATTGAATAAGTATTACATGTCTGTTCAGTTGATTAACTAGGTTCTTGAATATTAGTATCTATGGGATCCAGACAGTTGTTGTCGTTATCAGTTTCATGTTTATTTATTATATGCAGTAATGTTAGATTAGTGTCTTTGGTTAACCAGAAACCTTAGTTTGCGGTTAAAAGTATATAAACCAAACAGTTATTGTCAGGCTAAAAGACATAGTGAATATCAATGAGAAATGTCTACGAATATGTAGTACGGCCAATAGATGGCGTTAAAAACAAAAAACACCAAAGGAAATAAAATACGACAAATACGGTCCACGAATCGTGCTCTTTTAAGATTTCTGGCTCTTTCATTTGAATACCTTTCTTCGGCTTCAAAGTTGTTTTCAGTCTTAGATGTCTACAAGAATAAACAACAGGAAAAAAATATTAGTTATACTGAACATTAGAAGACTGCTAATCAAACAGTTTAAAAATAACAACTAGAAGTGGACTTATCAGGAAAACAGTGTTCTTTACCAAATATGTGCCACGTACACTGGTATCTGATACAGTAGCATTTTGTGCAGTGGTATTTGGTACAGTAGTATTTGGAACAGTGGTATTTTATATAGTGGTATTTGGTACAGTAGTATTTTATATAGTGGTATTTTGTACAGTAGTATTTGGTACAGTGGTATTTTGTACAGTAGTATTTTGTAGAGTGGTATTTGGTACAGTAGTATTTGGTACAGTGATATTTTGTAGAGTGGTATTTGGTACAGTAGTATTTTGTAGAGTAGTATTTTGTTCAGTAGTATTTTGTACAGTGGTATTTTATATAGTGGTATTTTGTACAGTAGTATTTTGTAGAGTGGTATTTTGTACAGTAGTATTTTATATAGTGGTATTTTGTAGAGTGGTATTTTGTACAGTAGTATTTTATATAGTGGTATTTTGTACAGTAGTATTTTGTAGAGTGGTATTTTGTAGAGTGGTATTTTGTACAGTAGTATTTTGTAGAGTGGTATTTTGTACAGTAGTATTTTGTACAGTAGTATTTTGTACAGTGGTATTTTGTATAGTGGTATTTTGTACAGTAGTATTTTGTAGAGTGGTATTTTGTACAGTAGTATTTTATATAGTGGTATTTTGTACAGTAGTATTTTATATAGTGGTATTTTGTACAGTAGTATTTTTGTAGAGTGGTATTTTGTACAGTAGTATTTTATATAGTGTATTTTTGTACAAAATACCACTATATGTAGTATTTTGTAGAGTGGTATTTTGTACAGTAGTATTTTATATAGTGGTATTTTGTAGAGTGGTATTTTGTACAGTAGTATTTGGTACAGTACTATTTTATGTAGTGGTATTTTGTACAGTAGTATTTTGTAGAGTGGTATTTTGTACAGTAGTATTTTATATAGTGTATTTTGTACAGTGGTATTTGGTACAGTACTATTTTATATAGTGGTATTTTGTAGAGTAGTATTTTGTACAGTAGTATTTTGTACAGTGGTATTTTGTATAGTGGTATTTTGTACAGTAGTATTTTGTACAGTAGTATTTTATATTGTGGTATTTTATATAGTGGTATTTTGTACAGTAGTATTTTGTACAGTAGTATTTTATATTGTGGTATTTTATATAGTGGTATTTTGTACAGTAGTATTTTGTACAGTAGTA